TCTGCTATGGATGAGCGAAAACAGATTTTCAGAGTAAAGCAATATATAGGGGGGGTTTTTGTTTTTTTTTTCAAACGAAGTACTAAAATGTTTCCGCATTACAGAGTTTGGGGCTGTTGTGTTCTTTCTTCCATTTTCCTTCTGCGCAGACCCAAAATCCAAAGCTTTTGGCATCTTTGTATACAGAACTTGAAGCCACAATGTCATTTAACAATTCTGCTTGCATTTGACCACTGTGTGCAGTTTTTGGTCATTGCGCTTCAGAAGAGTTTTTAGGTATCATCATCATCTCCTTTTTATGACCCCATAATCCTTTGCAGGGTGGAGTCTGGGCAACTGAATGGAGCTGTGTGTTTACTGGCCGGATGCCTTTCCTGTCGCCAATGTGGAGTTTTGTTCAGCAGATACAGTATATTCTCACTGTGCCCAGAGAGAGAAATATCCGCCTCTATACCTAGGATCGAACTCACAGCCTCCTGATTGGGAGGCAAGAGCTCCACCTCTAGCCCAACACACCACTTAGGTATCTACATGTATAGCCACCTAAAATGATCAGAGGTTAAGGAACCCTCATATGAGGAAGGTCTACAGTTGGGGGTATCTGCTTGGAATGGGGGGAGATGGAGATGACGATGATACACACTTCAATCCCTGGAGACTTTTTATCATGCCATTACTTTCATTACATTTTTTTTTTCTACTTCCCAGTATAACCTGTCTAACCTAGTGCAACATATAAAGAATGGTTGCTGGAATTGGATATGTCTAGTTTAATGAAAAAAAGGACTAATATCAGCCCTGGAAGCCATCTTTTTCGTTGGATCTTCAGGCCTGCCATATTTACTACTGTGAGAAACTGGGAGGGGGATTGTGTGGAGCCAGGGTGATATATAGTCATAATAACATTCTTGCCCTGCACCTGGAGGGCTGGAACTGGGAGGCATCTCCAGTTGGGATGATGCTTGGATTGGGCCATGTGATGGACATGTGGATGCTGGACAGGGATTTGAACTTTCTTTTGGTTGGGGAAAACCTAGAAACGTTCAGATTTGGGTTTTCCCAGATGTGCCAATATGACATCTCTAATAAAATGGAACTCTGAGGAACTTCAAGTCTCAGAGTCTTTTTTCATTGGGGGTGTTACTTGGAACCCTGACAAGTGACATGATAGCAGTCTTTCAATATTTGAGGGGCTGTCACAGAGAGGAGGGGTTCAAGCTATTCTCCAAAGCTCCAGAAGGTCAGACAAGAAGCAATGGATGGAAGCTAATCAAGGAGAGAAGCAACCTGGAACTAAGGAGAAATTTGTTGGCAGTTAAAACAATCAATCAGTGGAACAACTTGCCTCCAGAAGTTGTGAATGCTCCAATACTGGAAGTCTTTAAGAAGAGATTGGACAACCATTTGTCTGAAATGGTATAGGGTATCTTGCTTGAGCCGGGGGCTGGACTAGAAGACCTCTAAGGTCCCTTCCAACTCTGTTATTCTATTATTCTGTTAACCTCCAGTCCTAGGATTTCTTGGTAGTCTCTCAACCAAGCATTTAGCCTTTTTTATACTGAACTTTATTTTATTGTTAAGAAAAGTGCTTAATTATTCAACAGCTTTCTTTGCCCAGGGTACATGTTGTCTTAAAATAGTATAATAAAATAATGCTTTAATCTTCAAGTGCTTCTTCAGCTAAAAAGTATGTTGTTTTCAAAATCTTATTATTCCACTGTGTTTAAGTAGAAATCAATTTTTAAAAATTGTAAAAACTACATTCAAATCAAATCATTTTGTTTTCTCGGTCTCAGACCATGCACAAGAAAAGGACTAATAATATAATAAATTAAAAAAAAGAATACAAATTATGAGAAAACTCTAAAACAGTTAACAATTAGCAATTCACAATAGGAAGAAGGAATTGGATGGCCTCTAACAATTATAGCTATTGATAAAATTTTGCACCTTTCTTAGAGGTTTCAGAGTCCCTCACAGCAATAACCTTGCTAAGCAATTTGAACCTGGCTCTCAGCATTTTCCAATACAACCTGTCACTAAATATCCTACAACAGATTTACTACGGGGTAATAGCCATTGAACACAGCGGAACTTACAATAATGCTCAGAGTAGCAATGAAAAATAATCCATTTCATGCACAGCCAAGTAGTCTTTATTTTCTCAATTGTTGCTCCTGATGTTTGGATTGTGTTTGCTTCATATTTGCTAAGGTTACACTGAAAGTGAATCATTTATAAGGTTGTCTTCAGCTTGATCTGAAAGTGGGCAAAGTTTAAGGAGTCCCAACAACAAACACTTCCTGCTATTTTTCAATAAATTATATGACAACATTAGACTTGGTGTACAATGGATAACCGAATAACAGAGTTGGCAGGGACCTTGGTGGTCTTCTAGTAAAATCCCTTTGCTCAGGCAAGAAATCCCACACCATTTCAGACAAATGGTTGTCCAGTCTCTTCTTAAAATCCTCCAGTGTTGGAGCACCTACAACTTCTGGAGGCCACTCATTCCACTGATTAATTGTCCTCACTCCCCCTATTCTAATCTAACTAAGGCAGTAAAACAAGCCTTCCTTTTAGGCTACTTTTTCAATGTAATCAACAAGGCTTATAAAACACTTCCTTCTTTTCCAATTCTTGGAGACCCCCCTGGAGAAGTTCCTGCAGTTTTCTTGGCAAGTTTCCCCCCCACACACACAAAAAAAAAACCCCAAGTTTTTTGGTTTGCCATTGCCTTTCCAAAGCTGGCTGGGGCATGCTGTGAGTTGAAGTCCACCCATCTTAAAGTGGCCAAGGTTGAGAAATACTGCACTAAGCTATGTTCCAATCTGAGTGGAAAACCCCAGCCACTAAAAGCAGTCAAAAGATAGAGGGAAAACTATGTTGCCCTATCCTGGTCACAACGTTTGCGGACAGACTTGAGAGACCAGGAGGTTGGTTGTATAAACAGAGGCATAGAATCAAAATTCTTTTTTTGACAGACTTGTACACTGGGCCCAATCTAACAAAATGAAATTCAATGTACAGAAAAGTAAAGTTTTACACAGGCCAGAAAAAACCAAAACTACACATATTGATTGGGTGAAACCAGGCTTAATAGCAGTAACTGTGAGAGGGATTTTGGAGTCTTAGTGGATAACCAGTTAAATATGAGCCAACAGTGTGTGGCAGTAGTCAAAGAAACTGATGCAATCCTAAATTGCATTAACAGAGGGATACAGTCAAGATCAAGGGAGGTACTAATACCACTCTATAAAGTCTTAGTAAGACCACATCTAGAGTACTGCATTCAGTTTTGGTCACCACACTATAAAAAAAGATGTTGAGACTCTAGAAAGAGTGCAGAGAAGAGCAACCAGGATGATGAGGGGACTGGAGACCAAAACATACGAAGAGCGGTTGCAGGAACTGAGCATGGCTAGTCTAGTGAAGAGAAGGACCAGGGAAGACAGGATAGCTGTCTTCCAATATCTGAGGGGCTGCCACAGAAAGGATGGGGGTCAAGCTATTTTCCAAAGCACCTGAAGGCCAGACAAGGAATAATGGATGGAAACAACAAGGAGAGATTCAACCTGGAAATAAGGAGGAATTTTCTGATAGTGAGAGAGCAATCAACCGATGGAACAGAAGTTGCATTCGAAAGTTGTGGGAGCTTCATCACTTGAGACTTTCAAGAAAAGATTGGACTGCCATTTGTCAGGAATTGTGTAGGGTCTCCTGCTTGGGGGGGGGGGGTGTTTGGACTAGATGACCTATAAAGACCTTGCCAATTCTGTTAATCTGTTAAATCACGTGAAGTATTTAGTACTGCTTTATAAAGCCTAGTAAGACCACACCTGGGATACTGGGATACAATTTTGGTCACCACACTACAAAAAAGATGTTGAGACTTTGGGAGAAGTTCAGAGAAGAGCAACTGATGAGCAACGAGGCCTGGAGACTAAAACATATGAAGAATGGTTGCAGGATTTGGGTTTGTCTAGTCTAGAGGAAAGAAGGACTAAGGGAGACATGATAGAAGTATTCCAATATTTGAGAGGCTGCCACAAAGAGGAGGGGGTCAATTTATTTTCCAAAGCACCAGAAGGCAAGACAAGAAACAATGGATGGAAACTAATCAAGGAGAGAAGCAACCTGGAATTAAGGAGAAACTTTATAACAGTGAGAACAATTATCCGGTGGAACACCTTGCCTCCAGAAATCATGGGTGCTTCATCACTGGAGGTTTTTAAGAAGAGCCTGGACAGTCACTCATCTTAAATAGTATAGGATCTCCTGCTTGAGCAGGAGGCTGGACTAGAAGTTCTCCAAGGTCCCTTCCAGCTCATTCATTCTATTCTGTGCTGGGAAACCAAATTGCAATCTGAGCATTTCTTTTAACCCGGACAGCCCCTTGTCTGAAATGGTAGAGGGTAGGGGTGAAATCCATCAGGTTCTGACAGGTACTGGAGAACTGGTAGCAGAAATTTTGAATAGTTCAGAGAACCAGCAAGTACCATCTCTGGCTGGCCCCAGGAGTGGGGAGGGAATGGGGATTTTGCAGTATCCTTTCCCTGGAGTGGGGTGGGAATGGAGATTTTGCAGTAGCGAACCCACCGAACTTCCTTCCACAAAAGTTCTGAACTCGAATCTCTCAAGAGCAAGCAAGGATGGGGAATCGTATTCCTGCAAAGGCTGAGCCATTCTAAACATCGCGTCCGGTAGGGGGCGTCGTCGCAACTACCCGCGGGGTATTTAAAAGAGTCCGGGAGAAAAGAGAAGGCGCGCCTGCGCAGTGCCAATCCAGCGTTTCGGAGTGCCGCGCCTGCGCACGGAGAGACACGCTGCTTTTTTTTTTTTTCCCTCCACCCTTCGCCGATTGCGTTGAGGAGAGTGGCGCTCTGAGGCGGCTTGTCGGTTCGCGCGTTCCTTGCCTTTTTAAAGGCACTGTTTAAAAATAAAACAATGTTTTCTTTACGCACGTTATTCACACCCCCATGTTTTACATTGTTAAAAAAACTGGGTCTGGGCTCCTTTCGGCCTTCTTGTCAGCCAAATGAAAATGGGGAGACAATTCTCCAAATTCCCAGCTGTCCTTGGCCATGCAGGCTGGGGATTCTGGGTACTCTAGTCCTTACACTTGGGGGGTGGGGCGGCTAAATTAAAGAAAGTAAAATAAAATACGCAGCAGCCCCACACACTTGCCATACTGGCTGTTTTACATTTGCTATATTTGAGCTGTGTTATACTCAAATGTAGTAAATATAAATATTTACTATATAATATTATATAAAACAAATATATACAGAGAGAGAACTATATAGAAAATCGTTTCTTCACAAAAGCCCCACAATTTTGCATTACAAGGATGCTTCTTTTATTGTGCCAATAACAGGTCAATTTTCAAAAGGTTCTGTGTAGCCTACAAATAGAATTTAAAAACTACCCAAAACCACAATAACAATCCACTTTCTAGCCATTGGCATACCATTTGTATCCTGTTTATGCCAACCAAAAGACAACAGTACAAGAATTTTAAAAAAAACCTATAAAGCATGGCCATAAAACTGTTGCAATAAAAAATTAAATCAATATCATTTAAAAGGGAATTTACCTCAATCTCCCAAGAGATTTCTCCTTCAGAGCCCAAGATTAAAGCATAACGGCATTTAAAAATATATTTCAAACGTAGGCCACACATTTTTTCTATTTTTTGACAGCGACAGTGGTACTAAGTCATTGGCACAATGTATTGTCTCAACTTCACATGAATGGGACGTCTAAACTATGGTTTGTGTGACGGAATTGAGTCAGATACATGTCAAACTGAGTCTTGTTTGAGCCATGTAAATAGTTTGCTTTAATTATTATGTAAAGCCATACATCATGTACAAATCACAACATATCATGTAAATATGCTAATTCCATATGAAGTAAGTCATGGACTAGATCACTATGTCTTCTTCAACAACCCGTGATTAAAATAATTCATGGCTTTACAAGATGGATAAATACAACTATAAATCCTTTTATTGGGAGCCTGAATTGTGTTTTTTTTCCTCAGTCCATGCAGTTCCATATATCTAATCTCAATATCTATCAGTGTCAAGCACTGTTCCTAAAAAACAAGAGCTTAAATACATTAAATAAGTTAAATAGTTGAATCTGTTTTTAAAAGGACATGGTTTCTGACATGGTTTCTCCAATTTCAGGTAAAAAGAATGGCGTATTCCATTTCGTCACAAAATATTGTAGCCATTTCCGATCTTCACCCAAGCCTTGCTCATCCTGTAGGTCTAAGTACCATAACAATATTTTGTTCTCCGATGAAACTGTATATAAATGTACTCTGTTATAACATTATGTAATTGCTCATAGCATTAGAGACAAAATATTCCTATGTCTCATGCACTCTCAGAAAATGAAAACTGATATCTCTGGCAAAAGAGAATGGATATTACAATCATCTAGGACAATGATGGTTAACCTTTTTGCCATCGCGTGCCAGGAGCGGGGTGGTGGTCACGCGCACGCATGCCCATGCCCATAATTCTATGCACCCCGCACATGCACGCACGACCCCTCCCCACTCCCCCCCCGCTCCTGGCACGTGCTGGCATGGTGGGCCCAGTAGGCCCGTTTTTCTCTCTCCCCAGGTAAATGGGCCATTTCTGGCCTCTGGAGGGCCTCCGGGGTGGGGAGATGGTTTTCGCCCTCCCCAGGCTCCTAGAAAGGCTCTGGAGGCTGGGGGGAGAAAAAAATGGGCCTTCCCCACCACCACCCCTAGGCCCTCGGAAGGCAGGAAACAGCGTGTTTCCCTACTTCCAGTGGGCCCAGAAGGCCTGAAAATCAGCTGGCTGGTGCGCACATATACGCTGGAGCTGAGCTCGCGTGCCCACCTATATGGCTAGGCGTGCCACTTGTGGCACTCGTGCCATAGGTTTGCCATCACGGATCTAGGATGATTGGACTAAGTTAAATTATGGAATTTTATGAAAGGATGGCTGGGTTTGTTCTCCATTTTTAACTCCCATCCTTGGTTAATAAAAGGGCAATTAATACATACTTGAAATAAATTATAAAATGGCTGAATGTGATAACCTGTTTGTGTCTGAGTTTCCATAACATTAATAAAAAATTCTATGCTATTTTAGACTAGTGAATGTCAGTAATGACCTTTCTCAAATTGGTCAGTTTAGCCACCTCAGCAAGTTTTGTCAATTTCACCAACCTTCCATAAGTGGGTAATGTCAAATCTTTCCATATGTGTGCATATAATAGTCTTGCTGCAATAATCATAGATTGAGATAATTTTCCATGACTGTTTTCTAATTGCATCCACCAGCTTCATACTTGAAGTACATTCTAGATTTCTCTGGCATCATGTACCAACAATACATCATTTCATAAAAATTATCTTTAAGATCAAAATAGGAATTTCAACCCTTTTTTTTTTATTGCAAAAGTTTTACAATTACATTTTCACCCCTTTTTTCACCCCCCCACCTCCCTCCCCAAACTTCCCATCCTCCCTAACCCTCCCTAACCCTCCCCCCCAGACTTCCCTATTATGTACTCATAACTAATAACACTGATATATATACCTGAACCCATCCCTCCCCCTATATAATTTTCCCTCTTTATCTCTTTACATTAAGATATTTCTAATACATTGTTTTCAAATAAAAGCTATTTGGTACTTTCTAGTTTGGTATTTGTTCTGAACATATTCTATCCACCTTTTCCATTCCCATTCATAAGTCTCTTGTGAACAATCTTTTAAATATGCTGAAATCTTCGCCATCTCTGCAAAACTGGCCATCTTCAAAGTCCATTCCTCGATAGTAGGCAAAGCTTCATTCTTCCAATATTTACCTATCAACAATCTTGCTGCTGTTATCATATACAATATTAATTTTATTTCACCCCGTGTGAAACCCTTAACTATACCCAATAAAAACAATTGTGGAGAAAATTGAATTTTTTTCTTCAAAACATTCTGCATGACCCACCATATTTTTATCCAAAAAGCCTTAACTTTCCTACAGGTCCACCAAACATGATAATACGTAGCATCCAAACATTCGCATCTCCAACATTTTGGCTGAACATTAGGGTACATACATGACAACTTTTTAGGATCTAAATGCCATCTATAAAACATTTTATAAAAATTTTCCCTCAAATTCTGCGACTGTGTAAATTTAACATTCTGAACCCAAATTTTTTCCCATGTTTCCAACATCACTGGTTCTTCAAAATTTTGTGCCCACTTAATCATGCAATCTTTAACTAATTCCGTTTCTGAATCCCTTTCTAGCAAAACATTATAAAGCCTTTTAATATGCATTGGACCTTTCTCTCTTATATGTCTAACCAATTCTTCCTCATGCAACATAATACCAGTTTTTTGGTCCTCTTTCCATCTCAATTGTAATTGATTATATTGTAACCAGGTTAAATTAATCCCTTCGTCCAACAGTGTCTGCAATGTCTTCAGCTGCCATCTGCCCGCATCTGTAAAAAGAACCTCTTTGTATAAAAACCCCCCGAGTGACATTATATTTGTATTCCACAAGGTATGACCAAGATCCAGCCATAGCGGTATTTTATAATCCCATTTGAGTCGGTGCTTCTTCCAAACTCTCATCAAAGAGTCTCTAAGTATATGACTTTTAAATACTTTATCAACTTTGTCATCATAAAATAGGTAAGCATGCCATCCAAATTCAAGATCAAAACTTTCTGCATTCAATATTCCAGCCTTTTTACTTCCAAACCAATCACTTGTTAAAGTTAAAGCTGCTGCATCATAATATAACTGTAGGTTTGGAAGTTTAAGGCCTCCTCTTTCTGGAACATCTTGCATAATTTTCAATTTCACTCTCGGCTTTTTCTCGTTCCAGACAAACTTATTAAGTCCAGTTTGCCAAACTTTCAGTTGTTTATCACTTTTAAGCACCGGAATCATTTGAAACAAAAACAGAAATCTTGGCAAAATGTTCATCTTAACTGCTGCTATTCTTCCAAGTAAAGACAGTTGCAGCTTTTTCCAAGTCTCCATGTCTTTCTGAACCTCTCGCCACAACACCTCATAGTTATTTTGAAACAATTTCATGTTTGATTCTGCAACCTGAACTCCAAGATATTTTACCTTAGGTACAATTTCAAAACCTGCCCTCCTTTCAAACTCATGTTTACGATCTTGTGTCATATTTTTGACTATCATTTTAGTCTTTTTTGAGTTCACTCTAAAACCTGAAACTCTACCATAGTCTTGTATAATGTCGTTCATCAGGATTGTTGATTCCATTGGTTGTGATAGGGTAACCACCAGATCATCTGCAAATGCCTTTATTCTATAATCCTCTTGCCTTATCATTATGCCTTTCAAAATTTTTGAGTCCCGTATTGTATTTAGCAAGACTTCCAATGTTAAAATAAATAAAAGTGGGGACAACGGACATCCCTGTCTTGTTCCTTTTTCTATTTTAAACTCTGTCGTCAAACTTCCATTAATAATAATCTGTGCTTTTTGCTCTTGATAAATTGCTGAGATCGCCTGTATAAATTGGTCCCCAAAGCCCATCTTTTTTAAAGTCTTTAGTAGAAAATTCCAATCCACTCTATCAAAGGCCTTCTCCGCATCCAAAAAGACCAGCACTGCAGAAATCTGTTTATTCTTGTCAAGATATTCCAATAAGTCTATTACTTGCCTTACATTGTCCTTCATATATCTGCCCTCAATAAATCCCGCTTGGTCCGCATGAATCACCTTTTGGATTACTGGCATCAACCTGTTGGCTAATACCTTCGCATAAATTTTATAGTCTGTGTTCAAAAGAGATATTGGTCTGTAGTTCTCTGGTTTTTTAGGACCAACTTGTTCTTTTGGTATCAAAGATATATAAGCAGTTGTCCAAGATGGGGGTATTTTGCCCCCTTGTTGAATATTGCAAAATAAATCTCTAAGTTGTCCCACCATTTCAGCTTGTAAAGTTTTATAATACACTGCGGTCAAGCCATCCGTGCCAGGAGCTTTGGCTGTTTTTAACTGTTTAATTGCTGCTGTTATCTCTTCCTCTGTTATAGGATAATTCATTCTTTCCTTTTGTTGATCAGTAATTTTTGTAACTCTCTTATCCTTTAAATATTTTTCTATAAGTCCATTCTGCACCTCTTCTTTGGCATATAGTTTAGTATAATAATCCACAAAAGCTTCTTTAATTAGTTTTTGTTGAAAGATTTCTTTCCCTCCAATATCAATACTATCAATAGTCCGTATACTTTGTTTTTTCCTCAATGTGTAAGCCAACCATCTGCCCGGTTTGTTAGCGTTGCAAAATGTATTATGCTTCGCGTATTGTAAACTTGTTGCAACTTGTTCCGCCATAAGCATTTGAAATTGGTCTGTCAAAAGTTTTATAGCACTTCGTATTCTTTCATCTGTTGGGTTTTTAATAAGTAACTGTTCTTTATTCTTTATTTCCATTTCCAACTCAAATCTTTTCTTTTGTCGGAACAGTCTATGTTTAGAATTCATGTAGATGAGTACCCCTCTCATATAAGCTTTACTTGCATCCCAAACAATTTCAATTGGGGTACCTTTATTCAAATTTATTTCAAAAAATTCTTTCAAATGCTTTTTAAGTTCTATTGTATTTTTTTCATATCTAAACAAGTTCTCATTTAATCTCCAAGAACGTCTCTCAACCTTATCCATCTCAATTTCTATCCATACAGGGCTATGGTCAGTCAGAGTTCTTGGAAAAATCTTTGTTCTTTTTGTCTTAACAAGTAGATCATTTGACAACAGGATAAAATCAATCCTAGAAAAAGATCTATGTCTATCCGAAAAAAAAGTGTAGTCCAATTCATTTGGATTATGTATTCTCCAAACATCTTTTAATTCCATATCTTCTTTCATATCAAAAAAAGTCTGTGGTAGTCTAATTCTAGACTTTGCCAAGCTCTTTTTATCTAGTTTAGAATCAATTACTCCATTCCAGTCTCCCATAATTAAAATAGATCTATAGTCCCATTGCAATATTTTAGTATGTAACATCTTATAAAAATAATCCTGTTGTTGGTTGGGAGCATAAATTCCAATCAAAAGAATTTGACCATTTGCTGTGAGCAATTCAATTGCTACAAACCTACCATCTTGATCTGCTTCTATAACTTTCGCTGTTAATTTTTTATTTACATAAATAACCACACCATTCTTTTTCTGCGAAGTTGAAGATATATAATGTGCTCCTAGTTTTGAGTTTATCAAATATTTTTGATC